CTTACATTGTCTACATGTATAATTGCGTATTGCGTTTTTCAATAAAATAAAAAAAAAATTCAAGGAATTGAAGCTACCGTCCCTTCCATCAAATCTAGTTCCCTTCCAGTCCCAGGTACTGTGAAATAAGTAATTACTATACAACTACTACTACTAATGCTCAGTGAAGCTGCAAATAGTTGAATCCAAACTGTTCTAGAATGGTTGATAATATGCCACTGTTATTTTTAAATGCTTTGACATTTCTTGAGTACTTAGGAGTGAATTATCTGTTGAGTTCATTCATTATTTGTTTCGTTATTCAGCACATAATTGGCCGGGTGTGACACTAGTTCCTCTGGCAAAGTTTATATTTGGTTATGTCTACATAAGAGGAACTTGTAACCCAACCGAAGCCAGGCAGCAGGAACGTCAGCGACTGATGATTTTATTGTTATACACAAAAGTAGTTGCTGATTTTATTGTCGAAGTTCTTCCTTAGTTTGTAGTTATGGCGTCTTGTAAGTAAGATTGTTTAGGCACAGGCACACACAAGTACAATTATCATGTATTGTGTAAGTTACTTAGGATAACCCCAAAATAGTCAGTGACTGTTATTTGGGTCCTTGTGACATTTGATAGTACATATGAAGAAGTTTTCATTGTCAGTTGTTTTAGTAATGCTTATTATAGACCTCTGTACTGTGACAGTTACAAAACTGATCTTAATTCAAAAGCGAAAATTTTCAGTAATCTTTCTAAATTTAATCGAACTTTTGTATGCAAGTGCGTGGACCCCTCGAGGGACGTTCCTTGATGCTGGTGAGGGGCCCTTGATCTAGGGATTTGGATCTGTGTTCCACTTCCTTGAATTAATCTTGAATGCCTTCCATCCCCCCCCCACAGGTGCTGTATAATCCCTCTGGGTTATCACTCCCCTATCATAATAATACTGGTGTGGTAAATCTCTGCCAGTAGCGGTGGCTACGTCGCCTGCTGAATAAAGCACTTCACCACCCAGTTACATGAAATGGTTATAACCATAACCGTAATTTTTTGAGGGGGGTGGAGGGGTAAGCCAGTGGAAGGCCTCGGTCAGATGACCAAAAGCTCCAGCTACGCTTCATCATATGACTAAGATCCCCGTCAGGAAACAGTTGTCCTGTTTCCTGATATATCTTACCTGATCTAACACCGCAGTAACAAGCAATTTTAATTATCTAAAAGTTTTCAGAAGTGCGAAAGATAATGTCTGTTGGAAATGTGTGAATTTTTATTGATAAGATAATTTATAAGTAGCTCAAGATACTTCATTAATGTTAATATTTTATCATAAAATCTGTATGTCATGGGGACTGAATCATTTTCGTCCATTTTCCATTACCGCAGTTTATCTACTTTTCAATTATTATCCATTTATCAGTTCTTTTACTCAACTTCAATCTTTTTATTTTAAGGTTTTAATGGGCTGATTGCCTATTTTACACATTAAATTCTATCATACATTTACTCCTTCATTTTGGTAAATAAATCACTGCTTGGCTTTCTTCCCTTTTCCTATTATTCCTCTGGGGAAAGGGGGGCCTCTTCTTTTCTTCTTTCTTGAAATTTTACAGTCAGTAACATTGGAATTTCTTCCACACAGTTGATGACTGGCGTGTCTTGCCACAAGTGAGCCACAGAATTTGGAATCTCAGCAACAAGAACGACAAAAATAATTCATTTTCGGCTGGAAAGGAAGCAATCTTGCCTCAACAGAGGTCAAACTGACAGGAAGGCGGGTCACACTCTCGGGAGCAGAGGTCACAGCGATGGTGAAAACAGTGTCTTCAGCACCAGGGTCGGCAGAGCAAGGGGAGTTGACAGTGTCGGACTTGCTAGCTTTTAAGATCAAAGGAGGAGAGCTCACAGACAATCAAATAAATTTCCTTGCCAGAGCCATCACTGACAGGACTATGGACGACTGTCAGCTAGGTGGGTACCTCTCCACGACACTTTATTTATGTAGACCAGAAAAAAATATTAGAAATGCTATAGGTTTACCAACACACTAGAAACACTAGTCAGTGGGATAAAAATACTCATATGACGGGGACCCCTTCCTTTTTTTTAAAAGTTTCCGCTAACCCCTTCATTTATAAATTAGTTTTGTGGGAAAAATTTTTCCCCCCCCCGTTTCTGATTTTTTTTTACTTTTTTTTCCCCCAGCCCATTTTTATTTATTATCTATTTCCCCCCCCTTGGGAAGTTAAGCTGTTGGGTTGTTTTTTTTTGAAAGTAATTATTTTGGGCCCCCGTTTCTTTTCTTATAATTTTATATTTAAACTCTAAGTCTTGGGAGGGGTCATTCGCCATTTTCCCCCGCGTTACACTTTATATTTATACATTTTTACTCAACTTATCCATTTTAGTTTTTAAGACTTTCCCTTTCACATTTTTTTTCAACCCCCTTATTTTGGTAAAAAATTGTCTTCCCCCCTTTTCCTCCCCCTTTGGGGGAGGCCCCCCTTTTTTTTTTTTTTTTCCCCCTGGAAATTTAAAAAGGGGAAATAACAGGACATTCCCACAGTATATGCTCTTTTAAGGGGTGCCAGGGAATTTTGGTTCAAACTAACCACCTTTCCAGGGTGGAAAGGGCAATTTGCCGGGAAAAACAATTCAAAAACGACTAGGGGCCCCGTCCCTTTTCGGCCCGAGGTTAACCCTTTTGTTTGAACATGTCTTACCAGGGTTCCGGAGAGGCAGTTTTTGGGCAGTGTCAATTCATTTTTTAGCCCTTTGGGGACCCCCTTCACAGCACCCAAATTTCCTCCAAGGTTTCTGCCATTTTTTCCCCTTTTCGCTGTGGACCCCTTTTTACCTATTTAGACCGAAAAAAATATTTAAAAAAAACTTGTGTATTTTTTACCCTAGCCCCTTTTAGTTTTCTGTTTATTTAATACGGGCCCGGATTAATTGGCCCAACCCTTTTGCCCTGACCCCTGCCCTTTTCTGGCAGCGGAAGCTTCCGGTTTTTTTTTTTAAAAATTTTAAAAGATGTTTTGGGGGGAATTTGTTTACAAAAAAATGGCGAAACAAATGTTAAATTTTAATTGTGTTGGTCTTGTAAAAAATTATAATTATTGTTTTTTTTTTTCCCTTTTTGACGGGGGGAAAATACATGAAAATATACACTTAAAAAATCCTAGGGATTTAGTCCCAAACTTGCACACGAAAATCACCCCCTTTGAAGCAAAAATCGGCGGGAGATGAAACTTTCCCCAATAAAAAGCAGGGGGCCACGAGTCACGGGAAAAAAAAGAACCAATAAGTTTGGGGGCCCCCAAATGTTCAATCCCCCAGTACAAAAGGGGGATTCCAATGCCCCTGGCTGTCTTCAAGAAGGCAGGCAGGCCCCTAAATCAGTACGCCCGCCGGACTGGGGTTTTGTACGTCATTTTGGGTGCGGCCAGCGTAAAGCTGTTATCAGCCTTGATCCCCAAAGGGCCTGGTCTCAGATAGCGGCGGGGGACGTGGGGGGACCCCAAAACCTCTCCAGGTATCACGGGGGGGCTCACAATACTGTAGCCCAGGGACCTAAAAAATTTTAATCCGGTTTGGGTACAGAGAAAAAAAAAAAATTTAAAATTATGTTGTTTCTGCCATAACTGAGGCTCTGTCGTGGGAACAGGTGCAAAGGCTCATAATTATTAAAAAAATTGACTGGCCGTAATTTAAAAGAGTTGGCTCCAGACAGTGAGTAGGCGCAGAACCATGACACAACACAACACAAGTGACTTCGTTTCCCTTTGGGTTTTGTTAGGCGGGGAAAATGTAAAGTTTTTTTATTTGAAAAGGTTAAAAATGTGTAATTTAAAATTTTTGATTTGTATTACAAAGATAGCCACTATCAGCGGGTTTGATTTTTATGTCCACTTGGTTTTTTGTACTTGTATATGCATTTTATGCTGGGGATGAAATGGAACCATCTTTAATATCATAACCCTTGTGGTTAGCGCTTCTTTTTTTTTTTAAAATAATAATCTTTAATATCTGATTTTTTAAAAATCCTGAAAAATTACCGAACTTCCGTTAACCAAAATTTAACCTGTTTGTCCTATGTATAATTGGTTGTAGTAATTATACAAAATTTTATTAAAGAGTGATAAAAGGGTTTTTTCCTTTTTTATGTGCAGTTTTTATGTATTTTCCATGATAACTGAAAAAGAACAAGGCACAATCCCCCCCTAAAGGGAAAAGGGGGCATTTGGGGGCTCTTGATGTGGGGGAATTGGTTGTGCCCCATTCCCTGAATTGATTCGAATACCACAGGCGCTGTATAATCTAGGGTTTGCGTCCTCCATGCTTTTAATAATTAAAGGCAAAATACCGTGACTGGAAGATCCAAAAAACCCCGACTAGGTGGGGGTTTTCGCGACGTTTGGGCCCCCACTTGACCTGACTTTGAAAAAGGCCCAAGTAAACCAAAAACGTGTAAGCCCCTCTTATGTCCCGGTTATTTGTGAAAGGTTTTATTGTTTTTCCCAGCGGTCACAAAAAAGATCTACCCCCTTTTATTTTTTAAAGCAGCCAAAAGTGTGGAAAGTTGTGATGGCTTTTTTGAGCGAGGTGGTTCTTGTTTCCAGATACTTGAGGTGATATTCTAAAACCTCGCAGTTTTCTTTACACTCATTTTTTTCTGTTTTGAAGGGACGAAACCAGTGAACCGCTTTCTGTGTAAAACTGGGGGCGAACTTGAGGTGTGGAGTGTGTCCTTAGCTAAAATTTCCCGAGTAAGATTGTCCTTTTTGGGGGCAAACCGAAAGTAAGTTAAATCCCAAATCTGGCTGACTGACATTATGTAAAGTAATTTCTAAAGATTGGTTTTGCAAATTTACTTTACTTGTGGCATAAAAAATTCTGCTGGGACACTTCAAAACAGTAATCTATTTCCTGGTGATGGTCACTAATCGTTGGTCAAGTAGTTCCCCGGGGGGCCATACCTTCTGTCTCACCAGTAGTTATTTATTGGGAAAAGGGTTTCGGGTTTTTTTGGTAAAAAATACCGCCAATTGGGAAAATTTAAAACCCTTTTTATTTTAATAAAATTTTTTTGCCGTTTTCCCCCACGTGTTTTTCAATAAAATTTTTTGGCCTTGTTGGTAAAAACCTTTTAAACCCCTTAAAAAGGTTAATTTACATTTGTTATTCCCCCTTGAACGGATTGTTTAAAAAAGTATTTTTATTTTCCAATTCCGTTTTTAAACCTTTTGTAGGTTTTAAAAATTTAAAAAGGTTTTCGCTTTAGGGAGATACATTTTTTCCTTTTGTTTTTTGCTTGGGGGTAATGTAATTTTTTTTTAAACCTTTTAAAAATTTTGAAAATTTATTTTTTTTTTTTAAGCTTTCCTTCTTGGAAGGAAAGTTTTAAAAAAAACGGGGGTTTTCCATTATTTACAATTTCGTTTTGTCTTTTGAGGAAATTCCCCAAAAAGCCACTCATCAAAGGTGTGGGTTTTTTTTGGTTTTTTTAATTTTTTTAATTCCCCCCTTTTTTAAATTTCAAATAAAAAAAATTTTTTTGAAAATTTTTGTCTGTAATGAACTTTAATTTACCAAAAAATGGGGTGACCTGGGTATTGTAATTTTGGGACTGAATTTCCCCGTTTTTCAAGGGACGGTAAGGCTGCCTGGTTACAAGCTTCGGTCTTTAAAGCTTCCGTGATATCTTCACGATAAAGCGGCTGGTTACGGCGTGTATTTTTACAGGCGAGGAGCCAATACCACTGCTAAATATTTACAAAGGGGTTTTTTCAGAGGAGACGCTAAAACCTTTTGGGGTTTAAAAAAAGCCCTTATGAAGGGGGGCAGTCAGATTCGCTCAAAGATTCCCGGTAGCTTGTTATCTGGATCAAGAGCCCTTTCCTATTTAATTTCCAGTTTAGGCTAATGAATTTGCTTGTAAGGTCAAAGGGCGCAGGTGAAGAAACAAGTCTCCCCCTGAAGGGTCACCCCCAATATGTGTTAAGGAAAAACTTAACACGACCAAATTTTTAAAGATGCGGCCTCTGTATTTTTCACTTTGATTAAATTTGAAAAATGAGCAAAAACGAAACTTGAAATTTGAGTGTTTAATCCCCAACCTTATTAGAGGTGTCTGAAAATTTTTTCCCCAAAAACGCTCTTGGGTTAGTTCCCCTTATTACGCTCTGCTGGGAAACCCAAAAAAATTAATATTCCTTTCTAAAATTTTTTTTTTAGCCCCAAAAGCATTGCGGCTGCATTGCTTAGATATTTTTAAACACTATTTTTTCTGTTTTCCCTGGTACATTGCAGTCATATCTACCCCAATTCTCGCCTTTAAAAGGTTTTAAATTTTAAAAATAAATACCCCTTTAGCCCGTTTGTAGGGAAGGTTTCTAAACATGGGATCAACTTCGTCATCCTTCTCTGTACATTTTCCAGCACTTATGTGTCCGTTCTGTAATATGGAGACCAGAACTGAGGAGCATAAGCTACACGAGGTCTAACCAAAGATATAATTCTGAAGTCCCATTACGATTGTAACCAGATATAAACGTGTAAATAGTTCATTACAACTAACTTGTTCAGCCATCATAAGTTTGTGGTACAGTCCCTGGACCCATTATGTACCTCTGTAATGTTGAGGTAGAGTCCCTGGACCCATTATGTACCTCTGTAATGTTGAGGTAGAGTCCCTGGACCCATTATGTACCTCTGTAATGTTGAGGTACAGTCCCTGGACCCATTATGTACCTCTGTAATGTTGAGGTACAGTCCCTGGACCCATTATCTGTAATCTTTTGACTACCGCCCACAGGATGGGTATGATGGGGTGCATAATAAACATATTAAATTAAACCTTATGACATGAAGCCAAGAATTCTATTGACTTTATTGCAAACACTTACGCGCTTTTGTCTTGGCTTTAAATGTCTGCTAACCAGAGCTCTTGGATCTTTTTATCATTCATTTTGACTAAGATGTACATTGTTTAGCTTATAAATTCCATAGCTATTTCCTTTTTCTTGATGTATATGTCATTCGTAATGTTTTAAGCTATTGTTTTAATGCATAGCGGTAATAATGCTATCCTTAAATATTATACATGTTCATATTAGTGTAGGGGGAGTGAGGCCTGCGATTACCTATAATTTATTTCTTAAGTCCATTGATGTTCATTATTTGTTTACATATTCGGTGTGGGGTGGTGATGGTAACTTCAGGAGCCCTGCTCATGTGCATCAAGTTGAAGGGCATGACAGACCAGGAGACTGTAGCCCTCACCCGTGCCATGAGAGACTCAGGTGAGACACTTAGCCAAGTTCTTACTCCACCAACCTGTGGTGTATCGTCTACCGCAACACAATAATCTTTATTTCTACATGTACAATGTATACAGACCATAACTGACATCAATGACATACTACTATACAGAAAACCCTTTGTTATGCAGAACATTTCAGGGAAATTAGGTAAATTTTGTTCTCAGGATACGACCCACACCAGTCGACTAACACCCAGGTACCTACTTTATTAATAAATGAACAATACCAGCAGGTGTCTTAGGGAAACACGTTCTAGTGTTTCCACCCGTACCAGGGATCGACCCATGGACTTTAGTGTGTGAGCTGAGTGAGCTAGCAATGGAGCTACTTGACACCCTCGGGTGTTGACTATCTGTGGGTGACATCCTACAGAAGATGCTGCACCATAGATTGGCTCAGACTTGCAAATAAGCCATGGTAGGATAAACTGCTGTCAGACTATCAACATATTATGATCTAGTATAATATGGCCATGATATGGTCTAGTAGTATTTGCTCACGTTTATTTTCCCGTTGCTTTATTTGGCTTTATATTAGCTTACCTACACATCTCTTGCACAATAAAATGTTCAGCAACGGATGCGTGACTTAATATATTGTGAACACGGGAAGTTTAACCGCAAATGGAGATCAGACCCGAGTAGTATCTCTCGTTTTTGAAGTCGTCTGCCATCGCGGCTTTTGTCTCTTATATTTCCGAGGAATGAAAACGCAAATGCAACGCTTAGGGCACTTAATTAAGAGACGTTTCGCTGTGTGGGATTTTTTCAATCAACACCGAAAACAGCAAATCACACAAAATGTAAGGCAAGACACTTGTGTTAGATGGAGTTAGATTCGGTGATGTCTGCATCTTGAATATGTATCACTGTTAATGTAGTGTGTGGCGGGTTAATACTCCCGAGATGCTATAACTACCCTAACTAAACCTAATGAAACACCACTACATCCCACTGACACAGCTAACAAGATAAACGATTTCTTCTCAACCATAGGATCTAATCTCGCCAGTAAAATCCCACATACCAATGCCCATGCCGGGGACTACCTAGATGGGAATTTCCCTAATTCCTTCTATCTTGCACCAACTGAGCCCACGGAAGTCACCGAGATTATAAAGTCACTTAAAATAACTCGGGGAATCTGTCTCATGTCCCACCATTACTGTACAAGCGAGCGGCCCCTGTCCTTTTGCATGCTATTTCATTACTTTTAACAAGTCCTAGAGACTATGACCTTCCCGAAAAACTACTCAAGATGGCAAGGGTTAACCCCCTAATAAAGGGGGTGACCCCAAGATTTAAAAACTTTAGGCAAATTCCCA